GGTGAGCATGAACCACCGACCTTGCGGTTCAAACTGTCTTTGAAGTCCAGCGCATTAACGTACAGTGCCATGCCAGGACTCCAGGAGACAGTCTAGGGAAGTTCTCATCGGACCTCTGGGCTGACCAGGAGTCTGAATCAACTCGACAGCCGCCAGCTCTACCTAACAGAGGTGGTCACCTTCTCAAACCAGGCCCTGACATCCAAGGACTGACTGCTCCTTTCTCACACAGCTGCTATTTGGACAGAAATACAACTGAAGTCTCGGCCAAGCTGATCCCCGAAGGCCCTGGTGGCAGTGTTTGCCCTGAAGCTATGTGCAGGACTCCAGGTAGTACCGTGGTTAAGGGGTCAGCTGTTACCTGAAAGGTGGGCAGTTCTATCCCACAACAGGGAATTACTTTGAGTCAGAATCCATGCAGTGGTCCACAACACCAGCAATGACACTGTGTGTGATCACCAATGTGGAACCTGTTGTCCTGATACCAACGTAAAACTAGCCCCTGGGGAGAGAAAACTGTTAAGGACTATGGAATTGGTTCTTGACTCACAGAAACCTTGTTTAGGGTTTCTGAGGAGCAGCTAGTGGATTTGAACTGTCAACTACGCATTTCAGTGCTTATCCTACAGTGCCACACAAGACCCCAAACTAGTATGTAATTATCTAAGGAATGGGGAAGGCCACCAAAGCTCCTTCATTACAGGCCAGGCTTACGTACATTAAAAAGAGCTCTGGTGGCACAGTGATTACGAATTGGGCTGCTAACCTCAGGGTCAGCAGTTCGAAACTACCAGCTGTTTTCGCAGGAGAAAGACGAGACTTTCTGCTCCCATCAAGATTCTGCTCCCATCAAGATTTACAGCCTTGGAAATCGTGTACAGGGTCGCTATGAGTCGGAATCGACTCCACAGCGAGCCATCTGACTCTAGCTGAACATGGAGACTCTCACAGCATTCACTATAAATCTGGGTCCACAAAGAAGGTTCAGTCAGGAACAAAGTAATGACCCCTGCACAAGCTAACTTCCCTTGGCGCCATGGGTCCTCTAATCAGCGTATCTCCAGGGTCAAGTGGAGCCTGCAGATCCATCCCCAAGCAGTGTAAACATATGTTGCCTCAAAGTCTTCCTCCTCACTTGCCACTGTAACCTCTTCAAGTCTACCTTGACTCTCATTCATTCTATAATGTGCTCAGTAAGTATTTGTTGGACAAATTACTGAGTGGATTAAAAAACAAGATGAACACCTATGGAGTATTACATTACCTTGTAGCATGCAGTCATAGGCTTTGCGATCTCTCCTTCCCAAGGCATCCCAGAATCCCAGTGGCTCCGATCCTTCCTCACACTCGTGGATTGTCACTTTGCTGCTACTATGCAGTCCTGCTTCCAGGGGACACCTGAACAAGAGACATTCCAGCAGTTTGTCATAAACCCTGCAAGTGTCACAACACAAAATTCTTCAAGACTCAGTCTACACATCAGCTCACGATCTTCTACTTTCTAACCCAAAGCAAATCTTACTAACGGATGAAAAAAATGCTGTGTGTGTGTACAGGGAATCGCAAAACCAAACTCACTCCACAGCTGATTCTGACCCACCGTGAACCTGCTTAGGGTTTCTGAGGCTGTAAATCTTGACAGGAGCAGGAAGCCTCATCTTTCTCCCATAGAGCAGCTAGTGGATTTGAACAGCCACGTCTAATGTTTCTTGTCGTCTCCTGCTAGGATGCGACCTCCAGTAGGACAGTGACTTGGGCTTATTTACTGATAATTCCCAGTGTTTACAACTGTGCTTTGCACAAAGCAGGTGCTCAACAAGCATTTTTTAATAAGTTTCTGTGAGTTGAGTGAAAAGTTTACAGAGCACATCATCAATTTTACCTTCAACAAAATCATACTCTTCGTTTTATTGCAATGACTGCAACCCCGTCAAGTATTTACCTCTATTCACAGGAACGTGTTTGGTTACCTTCATCTTTCCTCTGCCTATCCAACTGTACTCGGCACAAAATAGATGCTCAATAAACATTTTGTTGACTCGATAAAGTGAATGATTTCTTATTTTGTTTTACCCAAATGCTGTGTGGAAAATCCCTGAAGCCTTGGAGGCTTCAATGAGCTGCATTTATCATCCCTCCCCAGTAACAAAGTGCCCTGGTGGCTCCTCCTGAGAGGACAGTCACCCACCTTCACAATAAAGATATATAACTGTTTTCTGGAGGGAAAAAAAAAGCATATGGTCTGAGCCAGCAAACATTTGTCAAGTTCACTCTCTTTAAATATTAAAGCCCCTCAAGGCTTCTAATTCAAAGGTGGCACAGTGCCTATTGTAATTAAGTGCCCTCCAGTCGGAAAATGAAAAGCACCTAGAGGAGTCCTCTCCCTGATTCATCTCTTATGATTTTCTTTGTGAACAGGTAAATCCTCAAGAAATGGGGAAACCCTGGAATTTGGAGGTGTTGGCTGATATGAGCAGGAAAGTTTGCTGGAGAGATTTTATACTCACTGTTCCTTGATTTTATTCGCGGCAGTTCTTCCAACCTCCTTGGTATGGGCTTGTGCTTTGCATCCATGCCACAGGTAAATGAGGGCTTTATTGACGTTGAGAACAACCATGGAAGTCCTGGACCTCAGGCTACTACAATGACATGCAACTTCCAGCAAATTTCCTTCTACGGGGACCTCTCCTCTCACACAGTACAGCCTCCACTCACCTGTAGAGGGCAGCAGAGGTACAGTGTCTGCTTACAGATAGGAAAGGCTGCCATTCTAGACCTTCTGACAGGAAGGGACTGGTGGAATATCAGGCAGTGCCACGCAAAAATTGCGCTGAGCAGGCACAGCGTCGGGACTAACTGCCATTCTAGAAGGAAAATCTTTTTCAGACTTAGAAGCAGGTTGCCCAAAGTTGGTGGGATAGAAAAACTATTTTTACAAAAGGGATAAAATAACGTGTTAAGTGATATAACAGGCAGGATTGTTTTTTGTTTTTTTGTTTTTAAGGATCTAAAGCTAAGGTATTTTTTAGTTGGATGTTGGCCTACAAAATTCTTAAGATTTTTTAATACAACATCCACTGATTTCTTTTTTCTCTAAAAAGAACAGACAAAGAGAACCACTGTTAGGAGTCAGTTAAACATGAAATCACTGTGCAGCCTCATTCCTACAAAATGAGGTCCTGAAGTAAACTCCATGGGGGCTGTGCGCTCCTCATAAAGCAGACTTACAAGGGAAATATCACATGGCTTTTAGTGGCAAAGCCACAGATATATGATGAGAGACTTATTTTTAAGCGTCTTGTCTATAAAAATACCTTCCAGAATCGAGGGGGAAACAATCTAATTCCAACAATAAAAGTGAATGATTTACTTTGCACATTTTCTTCTTCTTCTTCCCGTCTCCCTGAGTGTACCACCATTCCTCCCTGGAAACACTGCAGAAAACAGGGGGGCTCCTTCCCCTGAAGAACCTGGACCTGTAACGTCAACACGTTTGACAATAAGTAACTTGCTGGTTTTCACAATCGTACCAATAATTTATGTCCAATATAGGAAATTGGAAAAGTACCAAGAAGCACAAACAAATGCCACATCGTCCTTGTTGTTAAGTACCAGATCATCCGACTGTGTATAAATAACCACTGATACACTCTAGGGGTTTTCAGGTATACAACGGAACTCAAAAATATAAGTGGAAAAATTCCATTAGCTTTTAATTCCATTTTTCCAGGAATTTGTTTAAGCTCCTTTGTATTTTTCTTGTGTGTGTGTGTGTGAGAGAGAGATGCTGTAGGATAAGCAGTGGGCTGCTAACCACAAGGCTTGTGGTTTAAACCCCATACAGGTTCACTATGAGTGGGAACCAACTCTGTGGCACTTTAACAACAACAAATAAAAATAAGATTGTTGTTTTATGTTGCTTTCCACCCTGGTTTCCCCTTCACTTATGTTTTCCTGTATCAATCAATGAATACTCTTTTTAAAATACCAATTTTGTTAATGGTATTCCAAGCAGTAACCACTTTGGTCAGGTGAATTCTGACTCACGGTGACTTTATTTATAGGTCAGAGTAGAGCTGAGCTGTTCCACAGTCTCTGACCTGCAAAGTTTTATGGAAACCTACTGCCTCATCTTTCTCCTGACAAATGATTGCTGAGTTCAAACTACCAACCTCTTTTGTTTTCTTGTTACCTGCCCTCAAGTTGATTCCAACTCATAGCAACCCTGTACAGGATTTCCAAGGAGCAGCTGGTGAGCTTGAACCTCCGACCCTTGCAGCTCAAACTGACCTTGCAAGTTGAGTGCATTAACCCCCAAGTGCCACACCATGTACCATAACTGGTTTAAACACGTTTCCAATACAGTAGCTCTCCCACAATGAGAATGACTACTCGCTGTCTTGGCAGTCAATCCCATAGTGTACTTACAGTTCTGTGTGCCGTTTAAACACAGCCTCTCCCTTACGTGTCAAAGTGCTCTCTTCAGTGGGGTGCTGTGAGCTGAACCAAAAGTAATGCTGGGGGTGACTCAACTCACTCTCACTTTGGCAAGACATTTTTCCTCACAGAGGAAACTGTTCACTGAGTCTGGTGATTTGGGAACACTTAAAGGTAGTAGTGTCCAGTGCCACTCTAACTGCATCACCACACATAGGTGTTAACGGACAGAAATCTATTTCCTCAGAGTTTAAAAAGCTAGAAGTCGGAGTTGGAGACATCAGCTCCAGGTGGGGAAGCCCTTTTTTTTTTCCCTCTCTCTCTGTTGGCTCTGGAGGAAGGGCCTGGTCTCTTCACCTTCTGTTTCCTGTGTCACATGGACATCTCCATGTGTCTTGGTTATCTATCTTATCCCATATTTCTGCTTCTCTGCCATTCTTAATCTCTTTTGATATTTCAAGAGATTGACTTAAATATACACTAATCCTGTTTTATTAACCTAACAAAAGGTTAATAGACATCCTAGACATCCCATCCCTAAATAGGATTATAATCACAGACATGTTGTTGATAGGTGTCATTGAGTCAGTTCCAACTCACACTGGATCTTATATAGGGTTTATGAGGTGCTTAATCCTTACAGGAGCAGAAAGCCTCGTCTATTTCTTGTAGAGTGGCTGGTAGGTTTGAACTGCCAACCTTTGGTTAATATTCTAGTGTTTATCCTATAGACCTACCTGTGCTCCAACCATAGCGGGAGAGGTTGATTCTGACTCAGTGACTCTGTACAGGGTTTCCAAGGAACCATTGATGAGTTTGACCCATTGACTTTGTGGCTGGCTTACAGTCCAGTGCTTACCCCACAGCACCACACCATAGAAGTTAGGTTTTACTTATTTTGTTGTTAAAAGCTACCAAGTCGGTTCTGCCCAATAGCAACCCTGTATAGGGTTTCTGAAGAGTGGTTTATGAGTTTGAACCACTGACCCTGTGGTTCAAACCAGCCTTGCTGTGAGAATGGTGGGCAAAGTCTCACACACTTTGGCCATGTTATTAGGAGAGGCCAGTCCTGGGAGAGGAATGTCATGCTTAAGTAAAGCGGGGAGGGTCAGTGGAAAAGAGGACAACCCAGTGAGGCCGACTGACTCAGTGTCTAAGACAATGAGCTCAGACCTAGCACTGACTGTTGAGTACAGCACAGGGCTGGGTATTGTTTTGTTCTGTTGTACATACGGTCAGTATCAGTCGGAACCAGTAGGAAGGCAGCTAACCAACAACTCTCAGGTCAAGTGTCATTTTGTGTCAATGTCTAAAGGTCCAAATTTATCTGTCTAAAATGATTTTCCATTCCAGCTGTTAGATTAAAAAGAAAAAACTTTTCGACCTAGAGCGGTTATGGCTCAGAACGTGAACGATGACCTGGTAGGCGTGATTAAATCACACTCATACCTGCTCCTCCAGAGAGAGAACACAGTCTTTCCCAGCAGAAAATAAAAGGGCAGCTGAGGTCATTCACAATCGGAAATAACTAAAATACAACTGTAGGTAACAACTCTTTGAAAATTCAGTCAGTGGGAGATAACATGTGTTTAAACATAGGTAGTCCCTGACTTACAACGACAGTAACCTCACTTTTGATGGAAGTCAAATACTGTTGTGTATGTGTGTGTTTAGTTTCCATAACCTGTTGTAAGGCAGTGTTCAGAACAGTAAATCATAATATTGAACATCAGTAAGTGAACATCTGGGAATAATAACAACCAGTTACATGCTGTAACATATTAGTAACCACAAGATGTACACACATGCAGATGGTTGTACGTGCCGTTCATTAAAACTGGAGTACGTCATAAGGCAGAGACTACCGGTATATTTTAGGGAAAGATGATTGGTTCTTGGCACTCTGGAGGCCTTCATATTCTGGAGAAAATTCCTCTGCCCTCTCTTCCCTCAGTGCTATTATTAACCATTCATCCAAGATAGTAAAAATATTTGCATTATGTGGTATCATATTTTCCAAAAACTCCAGAGTTAATTGTCAGTTATTGGTATTAAATAATAACACCAGAGGCATAAGTAATCTGTTAAACATTGCAGAGAATTGTTTACAAAACATTTGATTTAGGTAGTAGTGCCTGTCCGACCCTATGCAGGTGAAAACAAGACCTCAAACTCACTGCCGTCTCGGGGGTTCTGACTCCTAGCAGCCCTTCCTACAGGGGAGCATACAGCGGCTCCTCCCGGCACGGTGCCTGTCATGGTAGATAAGACCAGGCGGAACACAGTCCCTTTCATACTTTTGGGGGAAGAGAGATAATAAAGGAGCAAATGAAATAATTATACAGCTTCATATACTGGAAAGTTCTATCTATAGGAGTTCTGGTATGGCGCTGTGGGTTAACATGCTGGATTGCAAAGTCGTTTACACCAGAAGAGGGCAGTTCAAGCTCACCAGTCACTCTTTGGAAAGCTTATACAGGGTCGCTATGGGTCAGAACTGCCTTGATGGCACTCAACAAGAACTTATGTATGTGTGTATGTGTATACATATAGGTTAAAACAAAACAAAAAGTAACAGAATGAGGGGAATGTGATTTGGATAAAATAGGCAGGTGTCCTTTGAACAGAAACCGCCATTCTTTGAAGTTGAAAGTCCCTTTTAGATCCAGACTGGGGAAATAGGAGGTGCAAAGGCCCTGTGTTAAGAAGAAAGAAATGTGTTTGAGGAACAGCTCCAGGCTGGCATGTCGAGGGTGGTGTGGGAGGGGGCTGGAGAGGTGTGCAGGACCAGCCACAAGGGTCTTGGCAGAACACCGGGAGACTCTTTAGGCTGTGTCCCCCTCCTGTGATAAAAAGGAAAGGAGTGGTCTAGTCTATGATGTTCTATGGGCCGATGGAAGGATTACTGATGATAAAAACGCTCAATTTTTACATGACTCTCTGATATCTCGTTAGAAGTGACTTGTGTGAGTAGAATAGCCCATCGAAGTTCACCAGCACTTGAAGGTCCTTGAGCCAACATTGTTTTTCAGAATGACTATACTGTGGATTAATGTGCCAGACTGCAAAGTCATTTGAAATGCAAGGTCGGTGGTTCAAGCTCACTAGCTGCTCCTTGGAAACCCTATACAGGGTCGCTATGGGTCGGAACTGGCTCAACGGCACTTAACAACAACAACAACACAAGTTATTCAAGCCTACAAGGGCTCCCATGCTGCTATATGCTTGCTAGCACCAGCTCTATTGTTTTTAATGTGGCACTGTAGGATAAGCACTGGCCTGCTCGCCTCAAAGTCAGCTGTTCAAACCCACCAAACACTCTTCATAAACCCTTAGACAGGGCCGCTATGTGTTGGAACTGACTACACTTGACTGCACTTAACAACCACCCATTTTAGAAGTGGAAAATTAACTCTCTTTCAGTGAAAAATTGTCATCGAGTACTTACGTGGGAACTTTTAAAAAACATCCACAGTCACACCTTTTTGTTTTGTGCAGTTACAATGTACAACTGTAACATTTTGCTTAAAATCATAAGCGGTGTGCATTCCTGGTTGAGTCATGGGAAGAGGAAGATGCAGAGAAGCCCAGAGCAGGATAAATGGGCCTTGGATGGTGTTGTCTTTGATTATTCAGATCAGGTTGTCAGGGATGAAGTCATGCACTCCAGCTCCCTGGCCAGGACAAGGAGAAAGCCCCTACTTCTCTTATGTCCCAATGAGGCTGCTCCCTTTGGGACTCACCTGGGCACCCCTTTCTTCATCCAGTTCCACAGTCATCAGCGCTGACGTCCCCTTCTCACTCACGGTTGACTGTCGGCCTTGCCAGAAGAAGTAGACACACTTCTCCTTGCCAGCCACTCTCACCGGATGATCCCCCTTATGCCGACTTCCCACTGCAAACAGAGAGCAGAGCATGAGGCAAGCAACTAGCAAACCAGTACAAGAGCACACACACCAACAGCTTCAATCGCCAGGGGCTGGAAGGAGGAGAGTCCAGAGCGTTTTGGGATGTGGGTCAGAGGAGAAATCACTCTCACCCAGAGGGAAAGTGCACATCATCCCAGAGGAGGAGAAAGGTCACCTTTGTCCAGCTGTCTGACCTGGAGCCTCCCAAGTGGTGAGAAATGATCTGAAGGGCCCTTTTCATTCCTTAAGGAAGCCACCTGTCAGTCAGTGTAGGAGGAAGGCTGCAGACTACTGCAAAGGTGTAACAGAGCAAGACCAGGGCCTCCGAAAGACACACTCATGGTCCACATCACACCCCTCCTCTTTGGCAGAAGATCAGTGGGTAGAGAAGACACATTAACAACAATAGATGGACCGGCATCATATACAAAAGAAAAAACGAGAAGCGATTTGAGTGAACAAAGAAATCTGAGACGTTTCCAAATTCTGTCAGAAATGGAGCCGATGAATTGCTGATATACTACTTGCATACAATAATCTGATATTTAAATATCTATCACCAGAGCTGCAGGCAGGACTCAGTGCTTATTATCCTGACTGACTGGCCCCTCGTAGGCACTCAGTAAACGTTAGCTACGTAAAGCAGGTTCAACAGCTGGCTCTGAAGTAGTTAAGGAAATTTAATTGGTCAAATGGTCACTTCAGGTAACACTTCAGTCCTTAACATCTCTAACTTTAGGAAAATATTTAACTCCAGATTGTCCTCATTTTGTTTATTCAACAAATATTTACTGAACACTTACTATATACTGGAGACTCTAGTACTTGGGGTACAAGTGATGAGGCTTTCTACTCCCGTAAAGATTTACACCCTCGGAAACCCAGTACAGGGTCACTATGGGTCGGAACCAACTCGATGGCACTTAACAACAACAGGTTGTAACACAGGATGGGGTGGGTGGCTTTGAGGCTGAGTCCTGAATGACAGTAATCTAGAGACAGAACCTTCTAGGCAGAGTCAGGAGACCAGATTCTTGATACACATGCCAGAGGGGTCCCCGTGAATCAGGGGTCAAGAGAGGGAAATGCAAGTACATGTGATACTCACGCACATTCAAAATTCACTTGACTAACTTTGGATTCTCTGGCTCCATATCAACTCATTTTTCAATGCCCCAATCCACTTTATAAAAGAACAGCTAAATTGAGGTGAAGGTAAGAAGAGGAAAAGACTATTTTAAGTTCCTAAAGATATGTATTTATTGGTCCTCTGTTAAGTACTATATAAAACAATTGTAACCATTCCTTACAGTTCTTGGTTCCAAAGCCCAAGTCTTCATGTGAAAAGGGGTGTGTATAAAAATGGAGGCTGACTAGCTCATTACATAACTGCCAAATTCCATCACCACTTAACTACCAAACACTGAGATGTTGGCCCAGCCAATGGGATTAGTAACTGTAACTGTCACAACCACTGTCACTCTTACACATGGGCACTTATTACTGCCAGGTATCTGCCATCAAGGCACAAGCTAGTCGGACAGGAGATATGTTTATGCTCTGTTTGTAAATGCATAATGTCAGATCACAAGATTGTCGCTGAGGAGTAGGATGTTTGAACTGTCATCTTTATAACCTTGATTAGTTACCTAATTAACTGTGTAGATGTGTCATGCCACCAAAATATTTTCAAGAGTAAGTTTGCTACCAATAGTTCTTAGTTTAGGAATAACAGAGAGCCGAGGCATAAAGAGTTGTTCATGGTCAAGCAATCTGGCACAAAGACTTCATGTACTCGTGACCCACCTATATAAGGATCACCCTCTCACAAGGCCTGACTCAGCATCACGTTGTAACATGATCAGCTTTCTCCCAACTGCTCCGGAACATGATCACTGGGCTAGAACACCAACCCACTGGGCCTCACTCCTCTATCCCACCCTTCTTTAACACTCATGGTTCTCTTCCCATACCACTTCTGTGTGTGTCTGAGCGTTGGCTGGTGTCCACCGTGGTAAGTTTTACTGCCTTTATAGCTGCTGTTTGAAAGCCCTGGTAGTGTAGTGGATTATGAGTTGGGCTACTAACCGCACAGTCAGCAGTTCGAATCCACCACCTGCTCCACAGGAGAAAGATGAGGCTTTCTGCTTCTGTAAAGATTTAGTCTCAGAAGCCCTATACAGGGCTGCTGTGAGTTGGAACTGACTTGATGGCACACCACCAGCACCCCGTGACCCCAGTGCTATTTCCTGCTGGCCCTGTTCAGCCCTCTTGTGGGGATGAGCGATGGAGGGGCCTGGATGTTGTTACGTTGGCTCCAGCACACAGCAATCCTATGTGACTGAGTACCGCCCCAGAGGATTTAGGTGATCATGTTTATAGGACCAGATTGTCAGGTCTTATGCCTGAGGAGTGCTGGCTAGGTTTGAACCACCGACTCTCTAGTTAGGAGTCAGATGCTTAACTGTTGCTTCAGCTTAGGGCTGTGAGAGCAGTCACCAAGGGGGCCAGTGTTTGCACAAGAGCTAGGTAGTGACTGCAAATGCCACAGGCCCAGTGCTTTACGGTCCCCAAGGGGCTGCTCTGCCCAAACGGGGCTCTGTGCAGCTGGTCTTTTTCACAGTTGTAACTTTGCTCGTAAAGATAACGCCAGATTTGGCCGTGAGATGCTTTGTTTGGGAAGAAATATGAGCGGCCTTCACCAAGTTCATGGAAAAAATTCCATTATCTTTTAATACCATTTTTCCACACACTTTATAAAACATCCCATCATACAGAAAGCATTTGCCTGGGTCAAGTTATTTCTTAGGGACCTTCAAGTCTATGAAAATCTTGGAAACACTTCTTTGGGGAATTTGGTTTAGTAGAGTGGTGCTGTGGGTTAATGCACAGGACTGCAAAGTCGGTCTGAACTGCAACGTTGGTAGTTCAAATCCACCAGCCACTACTTGCAAACCCTATACAGGGTTGTTATGAGTCAGCACCCCCTCGACAGCACTTAATAACAACATTCACTCATTCACATTTCCTATGATTTCTTTCCCTCAGTTAACAGAGAAGGTAAGAAAATCACTGAACTTCAAACTGCAATAGCCCGTGTATAAAAAAACATGAAGTTCCTTTCTGTAACTAAAGGCGGGAAGCTGTGTCTAGAGACTGTGCCTTAAAGTTTCCACTTTCTCAACACCAACAGTTAGACTTCCTCCTCCCCGCCCTCACACACACTAAGTCTCCTGTTAACTGTCTTCATTCACAATCGGTGGCAGAGATTGTAATTTTGGCTCGCCACCTCTGTATCAGGAACATGGGTCTTAAATCCATTCTAGTCCATTCTACTGACTGGGACTTGCAATTAGTTCGTGACAGATTTTTATTTTATCTCCAAGTTAAGCACACTATGCAGGCGCAGCTCCCGAGAATGCTGTGGGCGATTATGTCCTGCAGATACTGTGACGTGTGAGGGATTCCTGGAGTTTTACACACACGATTCTAACATTCTGTCACATGACTGTCATCATCTTGATTTTCCAGGTGAGAAAACTGAGCCTCAGACAGGTTCAGTCACTTTACCCACCCACCCTGCAGAGCTGGGGAGTGGAAGCCGGGACCTATGGCTGCAGGGCCTGTGACCTCCCTGATGAGACAGAAAGGGCGTGTTCTCATGGCTCCTGGACAGTCAGGTAGGCGAGAAATACCCTGTACCTGGACAAACACAAGTTACCTACCAGGTACTCCTCACACTCCACCGCTCTCTAGAGGAGAGGGCCCAGCTCTGCCCCAGCCCCTGGCAGATCCTGTTACTGCTCAGTGGCCGATTAAGAAGCCCCAGAGATTACTAGTCTGGTGGTATGACCTCCAGCTAGCCCTGGTTGGTGAGTGGGCTTGACTTTTCTTCCATGTAACCACACCCTCCCCATGTTCAGTTTCTGGACCCACATGGACTGCCTGTCTGCAAGCAGAACTGACAGTGAGTTAGTAACAAACTGGAGTTTGGAGAAGAGGCTTTAGGATTTTCCAGCTCTTGACCAGCTGTGTGAGTTCAGGCAGGCTACCTCATCTTGCTCTCCATCTCCTGACCTGAAAAACTGGCCCAATGCTGGCATATTTCCCACAGAGCTGGCCTAAGACCCTCCGTCAGAGCTGTCGGCAGCGTTCTGAGCGCTGTGCCTGCTGGGACAGCAGACTTGCAGACCATGCAGCTCGCCTGGCTGCCACAGGACCACCTCACTGCCTCACCCAGGACACTCCCTCCACTTGCTGCCCACCCTGGGATTGCTGGGCTTCTTCCATTGGTACCAGACCCAAGCGGAAGGGAATCTAGCTCCATTCACAGAGCATGAAACACTGCTTTATAGTGATTCGTACTTCTGGAAGGCAGGGTCTGTAGTATTTATGTAGCCCCTACAAAGTTCCTACACAGCGTGAGTATTCAGTAAACATATGCTGATGAGCTAACTGACAATTTTCAATAAAGCAGGTGAAACATCACATGCCTATAAATCTGCAGGTATTTGTTAGTAAGCCACTGCATATGTTTCTAGAAGCTCATGGGGACAGTCACACCTAGATGGCAAAAAAACAAAACCAAACACTCGTACTGGTGGCGACCCAATGTGTGTCAGAGTAGAAGTGCTCCATGGGCTTCCTTGACCACAATCCTTACAGTAGCAGACGGCCAGCCCTCCTGGGTTGTCAGAGCCCTTCCTTGCACAGGTGAATGAACTCTCGGAAGTGGGGTGTGAAACTCACAGAACTGTGACACAAACACTGCCCTAGATGGGTAGGGAAGGAGCTCTGGTAGTGTAGTGGCTACGAATCAGGCTGCAAACCTTAAGGTCAGCAGTTCGAAACTTCCAGCTGTTCCGTGGGAGAAAGATGAGGCTTTCTGTTCCCGTAAAGATTTACAGCCTCAGAAACCCTGTACAGGGTTACTATGAGTCGGAACCTGCTCCATGGCACATAACAACACAACAGATGGGTAGGGATGAGGGAAGTTGTGGTTGACTGCTACTTCTGGCCAAGAGAAAAGGACGGTGTGTCCAGAGTTCATCACTCCTTACACTTTTCATCGCTTCTAACACAGAAAGCAGATGCTTGAGTGTTGTTACAAAGAGAGCACATCTGCCGAGAACTACGGAGGCTGTGCATGGATTACACCAGAGCCACAAGGCACAGTTAGTGCTCCCTGACCCAGAAAAAAGAACTGCTTTTATTTCTAATCTGTTATTTGGGGTATTCGCCATAAAGCGTTTCTTACATGGAGCTCTGTTATCTGGTTTTAGCTTTATGTATAACTCCAAGTTAAGCAGCATATGGCTGCATGGGAACACCACAGCAGGCAGACCATGCCTTCCACTGACAACTTCCAGGGACAGCAGAGGGGGAATGAGGGCGTCTATGAGAAGACATCACAGGTGTTAAGAATTCATCCTTGTTTCTTTCAGTCCCTAAGGGTCGGTAAGTGGTTTTCAAAAAATAAATTATTATGAGGGAGAGGCTTGGGGACTCCTGAGCTCATGGACACTGACCTAGTCATGGAGGGCTAAAGCTGAGAGTGAGGTACCCAGCTGATGTGAAGTTGAGGGGAGACGCACAAGAATGCCCAACTTGCAGATAGTACCCATTTGACCTAGCTTTGATGGCTTGATGATCAGAACTCGACTAAGAGGAAGATGAAGAAATTTGATCAAGAAAACAAATGTAGTGAACTTGATCTATACAGCTCAAAATACCAACTGAGAGGGAAGGAGTCTTCACATCAAGGATCAAACCTATCCCCCCTCGTGTACAGGGTTGATAGGGGTGGGCAACTTAAGACACTGGCTAGCTAAAATGGACTGGGGGGCTATAAAGGCGTGAAGAGGCTGGCTTACAAGTTTTCAGGAGTGAGCTTAGCTCCAGAGTGTGTCGGGGAAGACAGAGTCCCCACTAAATAGTTTTCTTCTTGTCTAGAGGGGTCTAGTGAAAGCAGATGAGGATAGGATTCTTTTGATTCAACAGTGACTATTATCATGACTAACTGCAATGGTCACAACTGTAAGTAAAGGTAGAAGTTGTGTAACAAAAAGGGGGGAGTAATTAATCTTACAGTCCAGGACCAGAGGACCCTAGGACCATCAAGAAAGAAGAGCATAGCAGAACATGGGACCCTAACCAGAGAAGCAGCAACACTAGAGATAAAGGCAGAGATGAGGACATGAGAGAGAGCAGTTTAGGACTCTAGACTCATGGAAAGAGAAAGTTTATGTGCTGGTATCCAGAGATTGGCTTTCAGAATGAGCCCTTTGGTTGTTTAAATTATTATACATTCCTGAGTGTTTTGGTGTACATCAAGGGGGGGAAAAAAAAGAGGAAATAGATGCAAATACCGTTGAATGATGATGCATGAAGGGGATTGTAATCATTGCAATGAAACAAAATATGACAGGATGAGTGCAAAACTGATGATCTCCCACGTAAGCTTTGAAAGCAATAGCTGAGATTGCTGCATTGTCCCCATCCAGATGTGGGCAAAACACAGCAATGAAAACTAAAACTAAAACAAAAATCCCCAGTTGCCTGGAGTCCACTCTAACTCACAATGACCCCATATGTGTCAGTGTAGAACTGTGTCCCATGCGATTTTCAATCGCTGAAATTTAGAAACAGAATACCTTTCTTCTGAAGCACCTCTGGGTGGGCTTGAACCTCCAGCCTTTGGTTAACAGCAAGTGTGTTGCTGTTTGTGCCATGCCAGCGTGCCAGAACACAGCCAACACAGACCCCCCTGGTCTGACAGCACCTCAAGTCCCCTGTGAGGAGCTGGGTGGGGCCTTGGCCAGCGTGAAGAGAACAGAAGAGGTCACTAACCTGCCGTGCTCACCATGAACTTCCACTTGACCACATAGGCGTCCCCCTCGTGGAACTGCCCGATGCTCTGCTTAGGAAGCCTGCTGTAGTCAAACTCCAGAATGTGCCAGACATCCACGGAGACAATGGTGATCTCAAACTGCCGCCGGTCATCCCCTTCCACCAGGCCGTGGCCACGGCCCACGTTCACCCCATCCAGGACACAGCCCGCAGTCTGCGGCAGCGGCACCATCCGGGTCACGTCGTACGGCTTGATTTCAGCCCTTGGGTCTTCCTACCAGGGAACGTGGAAATGTTAGTTCTATTGCATCTCCTTCTAGAGAGGTGTCCTGCCATACACAACATGGCCTCAGTGGTCAGTGGGCCAGCGTTAACAGTCTATTTAGACTCCACTCGGGGTCCACTTGCATTTAGGGGAAAGTCTTGTTGGGAGGAGAATGGGGCACCGACAGACTTGGTCCATACCCGGCAGGGGGGAGCCAACACGGAGATCTTCCCCTTTTGAAGTTAGGATATTTTGGGGAACCCAGATTGCAGGTCCACTAGCATGTCCTGGGAAGGCATTCAGCTTCCAGTCCCCTGTTGCTAGGACCCCCAAGAACACTCTGACTACAAAGAACAGTCAGGAGAAACATACCTTCTGCTGGCCAAGTTCTCCAGTGTTCTTCTCATTCGGTCTCTTCAGTTCCGTCCAATCAAGAAACTTTTCTTTGAACAAAATCGTTTCATTATGTTCAGTAAGTCTCCCAAAGATTGCCCAATCAGGCCGTCCTTGTCCTTTTCTGCAAGGGATGAGAGAGCAGACAGAAAAACAAAACAAGATGAAGCCATGCAAAAACAAAGCCCAGGAACCGAAAACAAACACGTGACTGTTGGAGAAAAAAAACTTAACTATGTAAAGTGGTGTACAGGACACATTCCAGGTCAGCAGCTGGAAACTACCAGCTGTTCCGCGGGAGAAACATGACGCTTTCTGCTCCTGTAAAGATGGACCGCCTCGGAAACCCTGTGCAGGAACCGACTCTACAGCACACCATCCCTACCACCACCACAGGACACAGAGGTTTTTTCCCTTGTTTTACCTTATAAGTGATATTTTAGTGTTTTTAACCTGAAACCTTCTGAGACTTTATGCCTATGGAGTATGCGTGCTTGAATTCAACGTGTACCATGTGACGCCTGAACTTTTCTTGCAATTTAGCAAATTCTTCTATTTGGAATACCCTGGGCCTGGCACACTAGATTGGGACTGTGGTAAAGGCAGAGCCTGCCTTCACTGCCCATGGCTGCCACTGGTCGATGCTACTGTAAGGAAGCCAGTCCACCCCACCAACCGTACAGAACAGAGAACACACAGCCTCATCTTTCTCCCACAGAGCGGTCGGTGAGTTTGAACCCCCAACCTTGTGGTTGGCAGCCCACGGCTCAACCCACTGTGCCACAAGGCCTCCTTCAAAGATGGAGCTCTCCCAGAATTTTCCTTTATTTTTAAGTCATGTTACACTGAAGTTCTCCTGTCTAACTGAGCTTCTCATGCACTACAAAAAATGAATTTTATTTTCATCTATCACACAGTGAATTTTAAAAAAATATTTACTTCTGGGACACTGAGCACAACAGCAAATAAGCACAGCCCAACTGAGGCCTACACTGTCTCAGTATTTTACAATCTGAAACCATGCTTGGAACACAGATAACTTACCAAAAAACCAGTAGTGCTGAGAAAAATCCATGTTACAGAGACTACAGCTCTGAGAGTCACGTGCAGATTTCTGTCATTTTTCACAATCAGCCCGTTGGTTGGAGACTGAGGCGGGGACAACCTACGCCCATCAGAGTAGCTAGCTGTACCTCCTGTGTGTGCCTATTGTGATCTCTGCTTTCTGCTTCCTACTGGTTGTAGACCTGTAGTTCCCTACCACTCATTTCCGTGGAAACCAAGAAGACTAACAACAGCACTCTAGTAGGACTCAGAAAATTCTGGATTCCTTTGAAAAGCTGTGGTCTTTATCGGAAAATATCAAAATAGCTGTCTTTTACATAAATCCTACTATGCAGACCTGCTAGGTGACTGTCAAGAGAGTACGTGCCTTCAGCTTTCGAAATTTATCTTCTACATTTTGAAGCTGAGCTAGCAAGAAAGGCAGCAAGTTGTAGTGTGAAAGGCCCGAGGCCGATCTTCTCCACCCTCATCATGAACTTCCACATTGAATTGGGCTACATCACTGCACCTCAGCGGTTTCACCTCCTCATTTGTTAAGAAGGGTGCCAAATGCTCAATCTTGGCTGCATCTTAGAATCACTGGCGCTTTTAGTGTACTGATAATCCAAGATACAACAATTGGTCTCTTGTCTCCTGGAGCAGCAGAGGAAGTAAGAGACGCAGGAAATGGACTGCACATTTAATTACCTCCATAAAGGAGCTCTGGTATCGTAGTGGTTATGAATTGGGCTGTTAGCCTCAGGAGTCAGAAGTTCAAAACTACCAGCTGTCTCACGGAAGAAAGATGAGGCTTTCTGCTCCTGTAAAGATTTATAGCCTTGGAAACTCCGTACAGGGTCGCTATGAGTCGGAACCGACTTCATGGCACATAACCAACAACAACATGAATTGCTGCTTCCCCTTGCCATGAGATCAGAAGAACTGGATGGTGCCCCGCTACCATTTCTAAACATTTTGAACCAGGACTCAACAGATGTATCCTGATCAAAAGGGGGAAATATGTGGAACAGAATTTCAAATGCCTTACACAATCCAGACTTACTGGACCCACTAAGATTGGATGAACCTCCAAATCTCTTGCTGTTACAACATTTTGAACCATGAACTGAAAAGTATCTCCTGAAGTCATCTTAAAACCAAACAACAGTTTAGCTGAATCAGTCAAGAATGTTCACCTTCAACACTGGGCTCTTTGAATGATTTGTCAATATCAGGTCGAAGTGACAATAGCAACTATCAAGCACAGATGAGGAGTTTATGGAGCAGAGAGTGTAAGTCAACGGGGGTGAGACAGAGAGAATGGTAACAAAACATCAACCATGAAGCCAGTGTCCGTGAACAGGACAAGCAGGAATAAGTGAATGGGTGTGTCATCTGCTGTGCATGTCTTCACCAATACAGCACAAAATAAAACAACCACAACAAACTACATGCTGGCACACGAGCCCTACCCCACAGAACAAATCTCTGCATATGCAGTTTTGTAAAAGGCTCCTCAGGTGATTCTGATCTCAGATGTGTTAAGAACCAGCGGGTTATAAGTTTATTCATCTGGTTTCAGGTCTCTGCTTGCTTCTCAGTTATCAAGTGTCCACCTCAGAGATATATGCCTCCACAGTCTTTTGTTCATGCTCAATGAAATGTTTGTCTTAGCCTCAACTTTGGTCATTAATGCACTGCTTTGGTAAGGTACTAAATATGTTACGATAGATGTGCATTTGTTTAGAAAGGATTTTTCAACTTTTCATCTACGTGAATGTAATTTTCAATTGTTTCTATACTAATAATTGATTTTAAAAAAATAAGTGAACTTTAAAACAGGAAATTGGGAAGGAAATCTGAAACACATCTATTAAATGAACATTATCAAAATGTCATTGTATGATAAACAATATTCTTTGCTATAAGGAGCTCTGGTGGAACAGTGGTTAAGCGCTTGCCTGCTAGCCAGAAGCCTGGACTTCCACAGGGGAAAGATGTGGCATTCTGTGTCGACAAAAACTTTCTACCTTGAAACCCCTCTAGATCAGTTTTACCCTGTCCTTAGGGTTGTGATGAGTTGGTACCCACTTGATAGCAATGACTTTTTAGTGGGTACATCTATTTCTAACACATTTTATTTTTGAAAAAGGCACTTTTTTTTCCGGGTAGTTATAAATAACAATACTTTCTTTACATATGAAAGTTATTTTTCTCATGACTCTATTTCTAAATTTTAGGTCTATTCTGTTGATTTAAGAAAATGGCTGTCAGAAGCCCTAGAAATTGCTGTTGTTAAATGCTGTCAAGTCGGTTCCAACTCATAGTGACCTTGTATAGGGTTTCCAAAGAGCAGCTGGTGAGTCTGAACTGCCGACATTGCAGTTTAAACTGACCTTGCGGTCCAGTGCTTTATCCCACAGCGTCACAAAATCACAACCATGACATCAGTGCCCAGAAAAGATTAAACAAGGCACAGACATCATTTGTTACCATGTAAGTAGGAAATCCTGGTATTCAAGGGCTATGGTCCTAAACTACGTAATTAGAAGGACATTTATTGCCAGTAAGCTCTCAGCTCAATGGCTGAATTCCAGATCCTGGCAAGTTGTTCAGATCAGCATGTCACTTGTATAAACAATTGCCATTCATCCCACCACAGGAACATCTGGAATGCTGCAGATGTGAACAATTTGTTCAAGAAATTACAGATAACACAAATACCTTCCAGAAATAGACAACATCCACACGAGTTTGTTAAAAGTTATAGACCTGTTCTTACATGTGAACTCACTGCCCATCGAGCTGAATCAGACTCATAGAGACCCAGTATAGGATTTCCAAGGCTGTAAGTCTTTGCAGGAGCAGAAAGCGCCCTCTTTCTCCTGCAGAGGAGCAGCTGGTAGGTTAGAACTACTGACTTTGTGGTTAGCTGACTCGGACTTATTTTACAGCTCCCCATCAGGACTCTATACATTCCTTTATGAAAATCAAAGTCTTCAAAAACAACAGTAAACGACTACAGGAAGAATTGAGGCTGAACGCCACCACAGTACCTGGGAATAAGAGGATTACACTCTCCAGGATCCAATGGATTGATGTCACAATTCTCATAGTCAAAGGTTCCATTCCACAAGTGTTTCGCCAGCTGAAATGCAATCTTACGCTGTGCTAAGGTGACTTCCTTCCCATGCCACACGTAAACTTCACTGCCAAAATCGAACACCAGAACCTGGCGAAGTGGCACAAAAGAATTTGTTGACTTCAGAACATGCTCAGTCTTGTCCTCAGAGTTGAATCAGTCTCTGAGGCGAGTGAGCCAGTGAGCGGCAGTACAAACCCCAGGGAACAGTTAGTATCAGCTCAAAAAGGCTCCAAGAGCAGACTCGTTGGCGCAGCCCTGCCAAGCCAGCCTGCGTACCCACGCATGTGATCTCCTCATAGCTGTCCTATGCGCCCAAGAGAGGGTTCCCTCTTCTCAACCTTCAAACTATTTAGAATTCTTGATTCATAACATCGTGCTTCCTTCCCTTTCTTCCTCCCCCTACTTCATTCCTTTTCCCATCCCTTCCGCCCTAGATTATTGTTGTTAGGTGTTGTTGAGTTAATTTGGACTCATAGTGACACCAGTGATACGGTTTAACTACCTCATATGGTTTCCTAGGCTACAATCCTGGTGTGGGGCTGTAGGATAAGCACTTGACTGCAAGGTCAGTTTGAATCACAAAGTTGGTGATTCAAATTCACCATGCACTCCTTGGAAACCCTATACAGGGTCACTATGGGTCAGAAGCAGCTAGATGGTACGTAACAACAAATGTTTACAGAACAAAATCCCTAGATCTTTTTGCTGTGGAATGGCTGGGTGGGTTTGAGCCAACAAGCTTTTGGTTTACAACTGAGGACTTAATCCTTGTGTCACCAGAGCCGGTTCCTCCTTGGTGGGTGGGTCCCTCGGCACTTGTTCATTCAGTCACTACTTTGTGTCTGCAGGCCAGTTCAGACAGGCAGACACTCAAGCTTTCTGTCCCACAGCCCAAACCCTTCAGGGTAGAACTCTATACTGTACAAGTGGATACGGTAGGGATTTCATGGATGCTAAATGTGTACTCGCATGCAATGCTAGTTCTTATTTCATGTCATAATTTGACTCATTCTTTCTTCCTGGAAGAATTTTTCCCTTAATTTCCAGCATTTCAAATCGACTTAACACCCATGCCAGGCTCAACTGCACTTCCTCTTTAAAGCTCTCCCTGATGATTTCTTTTTCTGTAACATTTCCCCCTTTTCAAGGTCCATATTATGTATACCTGCATCATACATCCTAGCTTGAGATTATATTCTTTCCAACACCCTCCTTACTAACCCAACTAAATCGGGGGGCTCTTTTGTGTGGTCACTTTTTTCTCAGTCTGTAGAATACTTATTGGTACCAGAAATGTATGTATTTCAGGGGTTAAGTAGGAGAAAGATCTGGTGATCTGTTTCCAAAAAGACCATAGTCTCAGAACCCCTATGGTGCAGTTGTGCTCTGTCACATGAGGGTGCTGTGAGTCAAAAATCCACCTGCTACTACTTAACAACACAACAACAACATATTGAGATGAGGACAAAACAGTATATTTCCATAATTTTTACCATAAATTACATGTACATTCATTTCTTATTCCTTAATCTTCAGAACGAAAACCGTATTTTATTTAATGTTTATACTGGTATGGTGCTGTAGGATCAGCACTGGATTGTGAACCACAGGGTTAGTGGTTCAAACCCACCAGCTGCTCCTCAGAAACCCTATATAGGGTCACTATGAGTCAGAACCAACTCAACAGTACTTAACCACCACAACAACATAGAAAAATGAAGAGCTATAGCAAGGCAGTATTTCCATTTTGTCTAAACAGTAATATAATTATATTGTAAGAGACAACAGGAGTCCTGGTATGGCACTATAGGATAAACACTGGACTGTAAACCGCAACGTTGGAAGTTCAAACCCACCAGCAGTTCCCCAGATTCCCTACACAGGGTCGCTATAGTTGGAACTGACTCAACAGCACTTAACAACAACAACAAAACAACAGTCCACCCACAATCTGTACATCTTCTGAACAATATTCTGATTTCCATTTTAGTATTCGAGGTGGCAGGAAGGGTCTGAAATCCTGGCTAGGCTGCCCAGGGCAGTTGCTTTCTAGTCTCCGGGGCAGGCCTGACACCCGGTACTTCTGGCGTGCTTTCCCGCTGACGGGCTGTGCACACTCACGGTACCTCCTTAGGCTGCAGAAGAGAGCACTTGGGGATTTTTCCCCAGAAGTCATCATCAGGCACAAGCTTGTCCTCTGTCAAACGGTAAATACAGTTTGTTTCTATGATGGCCGTTTCGTATAGTTCATCTTCTTTGGGATCTCCGACAGCTTTAGGATGAGAACAGACAGAGTGTGACTATTAGAACACTGAAAGGCGGCTGGGTTAGAGGAATGAGCTAGCGCAGAAGAGCGAATCTTCAAGCTTTGTCATTCTGAGAAATACGATCAACTCTTACACTGGTAACTGGTCTGACCACCCAAGAGTTTCCAGAAGTCTTTGGCTGCGTGGGTGTGTGTATTAATTCCTTCTTCGATAGTCTGGATATACGTTGCTCTACAACCGAGTTCCCTCTTCGTCTGAATTAAAGTGGCAAGTTCTGAGGCCTAAGAGAGGAAGACAATTAGCTGGGCAGAAGAGCCATGGCTAAGCACAGGGGGTCAATGAAGACATCAAAAAGGAAATGATGTGTCTCAAAGGAAAACCTGGGGATTACAGGGCTGGAGAACAATGGTTACTGGGTATTTTCAATAATGTCCAGAACCATGGAACTGAAGACCCAAGGGTAATCAGTTCTCAAGATCAACGGGTTTCAGTCCTAAATAGTCGACAGATCACTTGTGAAGTTTTTTAAAAATAGTCATTCTCTGGGCTTTCCCTTTGAGGTCTTCACATTCCATAGGTCCATGATAGAACATCATACCGAGAACCATTGTGTGATCAATGATTCTGAAATCATGTGTCAGTTCCAAAGGTGTAAGTCACAACCCTTCTAAAACATCCCACTTAAGGACCTGATGAAAGCATGTCTTAAAGCTAGTCAGGGAAATCAACATTACTGGTCCCTTCTTGCTTGAATGGAACATTTGGAATTTGAGAAGTTCTGTAGTAATCTGACAACTGGTAGAACATTCTATCAGGATGTTAAGGAGTACTTAAATTATTTTTTAAGATACCAACCTTAGCTTTTTCTATGACATTTGCAAACTCTCCTACCCACAGGAAGCAATACTGGGGAGTCAACAGAAGGAAGCAGTCCCCACTGTTGAGGGAGGAAGCTCTCGGCTCAACCAGTCTTGTCTGTACATGTCTTCTTCCTGAACACGAGGCAGACAGTCAGTGTATTCCCAAGAAGAGAACTAGTATTAGGACCCCAAGACCCAAACCCATTACTGTCAAGTTTATTCTGACACACAGGGACCTTATAGAACACAGTAGAACTGCCCCATAGGGTTTCCAAGACTGGGATCTTAAAGCAAGCAGACAGCCTCATCTTGCTCTCATGGAGCAGTTGGTGGGTTTGAACCACCAGTCTTGCGGCAAGCAGCCCATATGCTTAACGCATGCTGACACCAGGGCTCCTAATATCAGGTTGCACCCCCCCAATTACGGCAGCCTTGCTTTGAACCCGTTCAGTTCTAAAGAGGATGCTTAATACAAGGGGGCTTCAAAAAGTTGGTGGGAAAATGGAATTCAAACATAATGGCATTTCCCCACAAACTTTGTGATGTCCCCCATTCATGTTTGTTCTTGTGAACTCAGGTGATGTGGAGGGGGGTGAAAAATGGGCAATGCGATGGCATGCCTGATACTTTCCCTGCACAATACTTCCTCCTCAATGCCTGCATTCCTCTCAGGACAACTGTTGTTGTAGATGTTAAGTGATGTTGAGTCAGTTCCAACTCATAGTGACCCTGTATATGGTTTCCAAGGAGTATCTGGCGGGTTTGAACCGCCAGCCTTACAGTTAGCAGTCAGGTGCTTATCAGTATCTTTTTACAACAGGTGTATGGGATGGGTTACTTACAGTTCCTTCCTCTAGGACAGTTGGCAAGCCTGCTCCTTTATCTGCTTTACTCTTACCCCACTCCCTGACTCCCTACTACAGCCCACGTCCGACATTTAACAGCATCCACTGGCTTTGTCACAGACAAGTCGGAGCTTGGGGGCAGAGCTGCGAGGATCTTCTTACTCGGAAATATTCGCAAAAGCTATATGGGAATTGTCTCAGAGGGCAGTGGCGCTGTTTTATACTGCTCTTCAAACCCTTAACACCCATGGCCACCGGATCAATTCCAACTCCTATCAACCTTGTAGGACACAGAAGAACTGCTCCAGAGGATTCTTAAGGCTGTGATCTTTACAGAAATAGATAATCACATCTTTCTAACATGGAACAGCTGGTGGGTTCGAACCGATCACTTATCTACTCTGCCACCAGGGTACCTTCTGCTTTCATTTATTGTTGTTAAGTGCCATGGAGTCGATTCTGACTTAGAGTGGTCCTGCGTAGTGTTTCTGAGGAGCGGCTGGTGGGTCTGAACTGACGACCTTGAATTTAGCAGCCTAGTGCTTACCCTTCACGCCACACCAGGGCGCCTGCTCTCATATGTTGTTGTTGTTATGTGCCGGCAAGTCGGTTCCGACTCACAGCGACCCTGTACGGGGTTGCCAAGGCTGTAAATCTTTACGGGAGCAGAGAGCCTCATCTTTCTCCCGCGGAGCGACTGGTAGTTTCGAACTGCAGACCTTAAGGTTCGCAGCCCAATTCATAACCACTACGTTACCAGCGCTCCTTTTACCGGCTCCTGAATGGTTTGTTGCTTCAGATCTTTCCAGAGTGACACTGGGTTAGAACATGGGGACAGAGGCTGCTTATTCGAACCTATCTCTGTGTAACTCTTTTCAATAAACTACAAATGATAGCAGTTATTCAGAAATAACACTTAGCATGTGTGCAGAGGCAGACGACGTTTGCCTGTCCTTCTCTTGGTGATGGATTTGTAGGGGCTGCCTCTAGGGGGCAGCATACATCTCTCTCCTTAGAGCCCAGAGCTTTCCCTTGCTATTGACAAGAAACATTGCAGAGTGGGATCCGGGTCCACTTCATTTACCCTCGTTTCTCTGATTCCTCCTCCATTAATGTGCACCCCTCCCCTCTGTGGCCTGCACTGAGCCTTTTCTACCTCACTGTGCGAGGTCAGGGACAGCCTTGCACTGTCTGCTGTGCCAACTAAGAGGTATCTATCTGGTGACTGCATGACATGTCCCGAACCAGGACAATGGGGGGCAGGCTAAATCAGCAGCAGAAGCCCAGAATTTGGAATAGCAGAGACCTGTGCTCAGACTCAGACTGGCCACTGGACAGCCACTGTGACCTCCGGCACACTAACCTCTTCACGCCTCAGCAGGTCCCATGCTTCCTACCACATGGGACTTGGTGATGATTCATGAGGTGGACAGACAGCGCCTGGCATACAATAGGTTGTCAGGGTTAACAGTCTCCCCCTTACAGGCACTCAAGAGCAGAGCCAGGATGCCTTGTGTTCCCAGACAAAAAGCCCAGGCCTACGTGTAATTCCTCCATGCTGCTTTTAAATACCTTTGATCTGTAGCAGCATCAGCTTCTTATAGGGCACCGCACTGTTGTTGGAATTCTGCTCGGTCAGGTTGACGCTCCGCAGGCTGACGTTGCTGAAGTTTTCTTTACTGGCTAAACCCGCCAGGGTAACTTCCGAGAAATTGGAATTGGAGGACACTAGGCAGGTTGAGTAAGGAAACAAAGCAAGATGTTCAGATGCAATGACAATGTTTACTGACAGAAACTGTTCGTCACTGTTTTTTGTTTTTGTTTTTTAAAAGCTGATCCTGAGGGGTGGGTATGGGAGTGGGTAATAAACTATGTCGTTTCAAGATTATCCGCTCCACTAAGCATTAAATATAGTATTGAAGGTTATAGTTATCAACTGCTTCTTGTTGTTGGCTGTCGTGCACCATCGTAAGGCAGAGAGACAGGACTGAGTGGCATTACAGACCAGCTATTTTAGCATAAACTCAAGAGCTAAATGTGTTAGTTACAGTTCCCCTGAAAGTGGCCCTAACCATTCCTAATAGCTTGTACATGGTGGAATGCACTTCCAGACACGTTGAACGCCTTTGACCAAGAGTCTTTATATGAAACAGGATGGAGTAAACTGCATGAGGGATGGTTTAGTTCTAGTTGTTTCTGGAGACAAAGTGTTCCCTTGAAGTCTTTTGCTTCCAGACCTAAAATGGTAATACACAAGATACTGGATTTTCAGTGCAGACCAGCAAATGCTTCCAGTTATCACAGCTCAGCCCACGGAATCACCCACAAATGGAAGACAGAGAAAAAGTATGTAATCTTGGTGCCAATGAATCTTTATTTCTCCAACTTATGGTTTAAAAGAATGTATATGCTGGTGAAACCTTCAGAAAACTATTTCCTTGGAATTAGGTTCTAACACTGAAGAAATATAACACCCCTTGACAATTTATATGGCGTTAAGTAATTTTGAAATATACTTTCTTAATAGACCTGTTAGTAACACAACCACTTCATCTAGATACGCTATTTCTAAGGAAAGTTTCAGGACATAACTTTATGAGTACTGTTGTTGTTAGCTGCCGAAAGGCTGACCCCTGGCTCATGGTGACCCCATGCAAAGCAGAACAAAACACTGCGTAGTTCTGCACCACCCATGACTGTTTGCAGATCGAACCATGTGACCCCATGGGGTTTTCGTCAGATGATTTTCAGAAGCAGATCACCACTCCTTTCTTTCTAGTCTTAGTCTGGAATCTCTGCTAAAACCTCGTCAGCATCACAGCAACATGCAAACCGGAAGGGCTGGGGAGGTGGTTGCACCTAAGGGGCTGGGACTTGAACTTGGGTTTCTTGCATGTTTTTGTTGTGCAGTATCACTGAGTTGGTCCCAACTCATAGCAGCCAAGTATAGGGTTTTCAAGGAACAGCTAATGGGTTTGAACCACTGACCCTGCGGTTAGTAATACAGTGCGTATCCTACAATGCCACACCAGGACTCTTGCATGGAAGGTGAGAGGCCCACCAATGAACTACCACTGTTCTATGAGTATTATAAACCAGGAAAAACCAAATCCATTGCCACTGAGCGGGTTCCCACTCACAGTGACCCTGGAGAGGGTTTCTGAGACTGTGAATCTTTATACTGCCTCATTTTTCTCCCACAGAGCGGCTGGTGGGTTTGAACTGCTAACTTTGTAGCTCAGCGCTCAATACGTAACCCATAGTGCCACCAAGGCTTTCTTACAAGTACTTTCAGGTATTTATAAGTACAGATATTCAAAACAGCAAGATTTTTCACGTCTTTACCACCAAACGGATATTTCAGAACTCTGGAACCCAAATAAATGGGCAGATAAACTCCGACTGCTTAGCCTGCAGCAGAGAGAGTGTCTGGAGCCCACCTTCTCACTCCCCGGCCCGTACTCCCACAAACAGATGGTGGCTCTGATACTCACTCTTTTCTACTTTCATTCGCTTGGACTCCATGAAAGCAACGTTTAATCTCTGTTCTGTATATTCCTGAAGAAGATCTTCTCTCGCTGCCAGCATCTTCAGGGGGTTTTTGGAAGCCTGAACTCGGCGCTTGGGCCTGACCGCACGCTTGTGCTCGGCCACAGGAGAGGTCAACCTGAGGAACAAAGCAGAGCTGCGGCCCCAGTCTGCAGACACCAGCAGCCCTGGGTTCCACAATTCCACTGCCTGATTTCTTTACAACTGTCCCTCCAGCCAGTCACTCCTACAACATGAAGTCACAGAAGCTTGGAGCAGGGAGGAAGCCTCAAGCCCACTGAGCTCAAAATCCCAGCCAAAGGCAGAGCCTCCTCGCCGGCTCCCCATCACACCATGCCCTTGGGATCTGCCGGAAGGGTATCTAGGGCTTCTTGGGCAGTTCAGTCTGCTGGTCGAGGAGAGCTCTAAACTAGGAGAGTCTTCCTCTGCAGAGGAGGACTCATCTCCTCATCCTCCCATGGATAACGTAGACATTGTGTCTGCTTTTTCTGTCACTAGCAAGCCACTCTAGAATTTATAGACAGCTCTTACTTCTCAGTTTACCTTTCTTTTTTCCAGATTAAACTTGAAATAGTTGTTCTGTTCTCTCACCATCTATCCCAAACTAGCCTACTCTCGGCCCATTATCCCCTTTTAAGAAAGTAACTATTTGGAGGAATATATTGAAATAGAATAATACCACCACAAAAGCAACTGTGACCCCCGCATACTCAAAGCACTCTGTGGGGCAGAAGAGGAGAGATCTCTGTATGACCTCTGAAGAGTTTCCTGCTGCTACTCTAACCAGCCACCTAGAGTGCCTTGGACCTGTTATTGTTAAGTGCCATGAAGTTGGTTCTGAGTCATAACAACCCTATTTAGGGTTTCCAAGGAGCAGCTGGAGAATTTGAACCACCAACCTTGAGGTTCAAACTGACTTTGTGTGGGAGAAAGCACTAGTCCTCTTGATAAATAATACTGAACACACACATGTGAGGGGATTTCAAAAAGTTCATGGAAAAATGGAATTAAAAGGTAATGGAATTTTTCCAGTAAGTTTTCGAAGCCCTACACACGCATTTACACATATAGGATAACTACTTGACTGCTAATCTCAAAGTTGGCGGTTCAAACCTCGGAACCCTACAGAGGGTTGCTATGAGTCGGAAGTGATATGATGGCCCATAACAATCTCTCTGTCTCTCTCTCACACACACACACACACAAAATGCTACACACATATGTATGAGGGGCTTCAAAAGTTTGTGTAAAATGGAATTAAAAGACAATGGAATTTCTCCACAAACTTATTGATGGCCGCTTACATATACATATATATGTTTATATATATGTATATATACAACAATAACAGAAATGTTCACGGAAAAAGGAATGAAGAGATCACCGATTTTTTTCCCATCAACTTTGTGAAGGCCCCTCAGATATATAAATGCATTGAGATTATTATATGTGTAACATTTTAATCAATGACATTTGGGTGGGGGGATTGAAAAATCATTAAATATTGATCTAATTATCTAAAAATGGGAAACAGCAAAATGTTCTTTTTGTTTTTCAAGGTGGGAAACTGAATGTTGCAAATTAAAATATACAAAAACAAAAACACAACAAAACCAATACCAAGGAGAGGATTAAGATGAAATACATGAGGAATAAATGTAAAACAACAATAAAAACCCCAAACCAAAAAACTAGCCTTCTGAAAGACTTTTTCCCCCATCAAGTCTCTCTTAGAATTCTAAGTCAGAAAGGTTCATGTGGTGAAGAGCACCTGCCATCCTGGCCTGCCCAGCACATGCTACCTTGCTTCTGTTAAGAGCATCTTGATCTTCCTCTTTGGAAATCATCTCATGGCATTTCCACCCATCACCATGGTTCTGGAGGGTAGGCAGAGACCCAGTTCTGACCAACCAGCATCTTCCACACTACCCCACCCCAATTCCCTATCGACTCCCGCATCACAAAGACTATGTAAGGTCCAAGTTGGAGCAAAGACAACCAAGTCTAGCACTTGTGCTGCAACTGCTGAGTTAAGAGGAACTGTCTGGTGGGGTGGCAGGGCGGGTCACCTAGAAGCTCAGAGCTGGGTGGAATCTGTTCCCAGTAGTTTACAACGTGGCGGACAGTGTAGACAGCTAAAACAATACACATGAGAGACCATATTTTGATGAACCCCCAGACCCTGATGTGCCTGGAACTAGCTGGCTCATGTCTGCCCTTGACAGTCAATGAGCATGCCTAATTTCCCCAGATCTCTCCTTGATTAAACCAGCTGGACTTGGATTTCTTTCTGAAGGATCCTAATCCCTTAACACTTCTTAGGTTGGCTTTGTCATGCTCCTATGTGAAGAGATCCTGGGGGACATCATTGAGAAAACCCCTAGATCCTTTGATTTTTATCAACTATTATAAAGTAAGCAACATTCTGCATTGATTTTCGAATTACTCTATTGTATTCAATTCAGCCCACATGTTCCAAACATCATTTCAAATTTATGGGTAAGAATTCACTATGTCAAATGAAAGCCAGGTATAGGATTGGCTGTTAAACAATGTTGATTAAAAAAAAAAAGGCAAGACGTTCAAATTACATTAAAAACAAAAAACAAAACCTAGTGATACTTTCATGGGACATGATAAACATTGGTGTCACAGACTGTGCATACAAGTTGTCCTGCCTGAAAGCACAGGTGTTTTGGATGCACCCCACAGAACCATACAACTGGCTCTAAGGAATAATACTTTGGGAAGCAATGGCGCTCTATTACAGAAGATCACATAGTGGGAGAAGACCCCTGTAGAAATACTACATGAGGCACAAGAAGGAAACCACAGTTAGTGAGGGGGAACACACACAGGAGACGGAAATAACTCACTTGGGTGCGTAAGGATCGAAAATAACATCGAAATCCTCATCTAGCTCCACGGGGCTTCTCGGTGCAGTGTAATCCATGGTGCGGTAAAATTTGGCAAAGGTTTCATCATCATCCAACTTCATCACCTCTTTAATAGATTTACCAGTGACAGTGAGGACAGTCTCTTGCATCCCACCAACTATCAACAAAGGAACAAATAAAGACACATGATGGGTATGACTCCAATGATGCCTCATAATACTGAACAATCGTTACCCCATGATGTTTCTGGAGTGGAGGAAACACGCTGATGACATGTGGGTGCCATGGATGTTTCCTTGTCCCATCATTGGCTTCTCACTCCCACCCAAACAAGGTTTCCACAGCAAAATGCAAGGAGAGGGAAGCTCCCCTTCTGCACGTAAGACTATTAATCATGCATATCTTAACTTGTTCCTCTTCTTACTGGAGGTAGGAGAGACTCCACCTCATTCTGGAACAAGGGTTGGCAAACTTTTTCTGCAAAGGGGTAGATGGCACGTGTTTTAGGCTTTGGAGTGAGGGTCCCAAGGCCTCTGTTGTGACTAGACAACTCTTCTGCTGTGTGCAAAGTAGCAATCACCAATATGGAAAGAAATGGATGGGCCTGTGTCTCCATAAAACTTAACTTACAAATGCAGGTCGACAGCTGGATTTCACTGACCCCAGATTACCTCACTGCCAAAGGTATGTAATAAACTTTCCATGCGTTGCCTAACCAGTTGCCTTACTTAACTACACTTTTATACTTTTGTTTAAAGGGTTGTTAAGTGCCAGTGAGATGGTTCTGATTCTTATCGACCCTGTATAGAGTTTTCAAGGAGCATCTGGTGAGTTTGAACTGCCGACCTTGTAGTTCAAACAGACCTTGAGGTTGAGTGCTAATCCTGTTTCTAGGCTATTAGGGATCTCTATCAACACACTAGGGACTTTCAGTTCCTAGTATTTGATTAACAGATATTTTATTAGGTAGCTCAAGTTCACCTGCTGCTCCTTGGAAAGCCTATACAAGGTCGCTGTGGGTCAGAACTGACTTGACAACACTTAACAATAACAGAAGTAGGGCTAGATGGTACATTTCAGGCTTTGGGGAGTGGGATATACAGCCTCAGCACAGTTCTCTTATTCTGCTTTGTGACTGACATTTGTACTGAAATGTTTTATTTCAAAATTTATTTACCAGAATATTCTTCTAGAAACAATTCGTGAGTCTAAGAAATACCACCAGCTTTTGCCTTACTAGATGCTGATATACCCAATTTGAAATTCACCAGATCAAATGTTATGTTGATTTTGTATCTGTACAATGAGCCACTTGCAGGGTTAAATACAAAATTACCAGGTTTACAATTCTGATTGGATCCTATCATAAGGGCTGAGATTCAGGAACAAATGTGGTGCTGGGGTTTCTAATTTAGGACATTATCAAGTGCATCAGAGCTTCGTGAGCCAATCAATCTTGACCAATAATGTCATCTTTGCTCTCAAAAGCAGAGTCCTATAAAAATATGAATCAGTGAAGTACAAAAGAAGGCAGAAAAATCAGTGGAAGAGAAAAAGCAGCCCGAGTTGGGATTTAGAATTTTTGATAGAAAGGCAGGTACTTTTTGGTTTCCTTAGGTCCTCCTTGAAGATATGTATCAGCGTACTACCAGGATAGGAAACAAAGCTTTCCTCTGGCTTCTGGTCAGTACCTTTGTTGTTCAGCCTTCGTAGGAAGGTTTCCAGCCTGTCCAACTTCAGGTCGGATTCTAACTGCATGTCTGGTCTGGCTTCAATATCTGAGCAAGTAGAAACCATTCATGAGAGTGGGACTCTGTGTACCCTCTGACCACAGCCCGTTGGTACGGAGGGTGCCTTGACGACTCACCTTCCAGGGGTTTGGAAACTGGGGTGGTGCTCTTGGCTTTATTGCTAGCTGGGGAAGCTACTGGAGTTATGGCTGTAGGCGACGCCAAGCCTGCAGAACAAACAAAGAAGCGATTTAGCAGTGCAGGCCCATTTCTGAACTTCCAGAATGCTGATGAATCACAATAATCCCAGAGCAGATGTTGCAGTTTATAGAATTTATATACACACACACTTTTGTCAAAAACCAGGACTATGTATGACAAGAACAAAAGTAAACTGGCTTCTATTGTCTCCAAGGACTAGAGCAGCTTACATTCCAGGAGGAGCAATGAAGACATCTCAGAAATGGGAAACATGTCCACTGCTGTGAAACTGAAAAGATGAATGCATAAGGCAATCCGAATATGCTTGACTGAACAGGGGTGTGTACTGAAGGTCGTCTGCATGTCTGTGTGTGTGTGTGTGTGTGTGTGTGTGTGTGTGTGTGTGTGTGGCAGGGGCTGTTGGTGTTGTGTGCTGTTGAGTCTGATCTGACTCACAGCAACCCTGGATAGGGTTTCAGAAAGTGGTTGGTGTGAACACTCTATAATGCGGGTAGCAGGTCAGTGCTTATCCTACAGTGCCACACCAGGACTCAATGATGAGAAAGCATATGTGCTTATCTCCCACAAGGAAGAAACAGATGAACTGTGTCCTGCTTGTTCACAAGTCCCCTGCCCTCTTCCTTTCAGATTGAAGTGAAGTAGGGACAGTCAGACCACAGAGGCATCATTCACAGTGTGACTGCATTCAGCACTAACCTGCGGAGTGTTAACCTTAACAAGAAAAAAGCAGAAAAGTAGAGATCTAAACGGATTTGTGATTGTTGGAAGGCATGCTGCAATATCTCATGTATAGCTGGGAATTGACAATGGTGGTGGTTAATTATGTGCCGTGGAGTCGGTTCTGATTCATAGCGACCCTGTACAGGGTTTCCGAGGCTGTAAATCTTTACGGGAGCAGAAAGCCTCATCTTTCTCCCACCGAACTGCTGGTAGTTTCAAACTGCTGACCTTGCGGTTCGCAGCCGTATTTGTAACCACTACGCTACCAGAGTGCCTTGGAATTGACAACAGACTTCCACAAATACTAGAGGAGCGTAAGATCTATGGGTGGTGCGAAGGGTTTGTGCTCAGCTACTGTCTGAACCCACCAAGTGGTACCACGGAAGAAATACCTGGCAATCAGCTTCCATAAAGGTTCCAGCCAAGTAAAGTCTATGGAGTTCTCCTAGAGAACACATGGAATCAACTAAAAAACAATAAGTTTGTTTTGGGTTTTGTTCTATGCACAAGCAGGCCAGGGTATCTTTAAGGACAAATGGAAAGGAAACAGGAAAATAGCTCTCCACAGAGAAAGTAGCTAGCTAGAAAAAGAAACTTTAATTGGTGGTGGGCAAGTACGTGATTTTTTTTTTTTTTCCTATGTAAAAGGAGCTGACAAAATGAGATGCCAACTTTCTTTGTATTCATTTGTAATACATGTAAAATCTTAGATGGGGTATTAAATCTTCATATGCATGTGAAAGTTGGACAGTGAATAAGGAAGACCATAAAAGAGTTGATGCGTTTCAGCTATAGTACTGGAGGAGATGCTACAAAATACCATGGACTGCCAAAAAACAAACTGATCTATGTTGGAGGAAGTGCAGCCAAAATGCTCCCTGGAAGCCAGGATGGCCAAACTGCAGCCATATTTCAGGAGGGACCAGTCCCTGGAGAAGGAAATCGTTTTGGAAAAATGGATTTTACTAAACAAGATGGACTGGCACAGTGGCAGCAGCGATTGGCTCAAATGTCGCAATGATTGTGAGGTTGGCACAGGCCTGGGCAGTGTTTTTGTTCTATTGTGCATAGGGTCACTCTGAGTTGGTACTGATTTGATGGCACCTAACAACAACAACGTGTGTGTGAACTTTTCTTTATTCCTAAGGAAAAGGTGCAGACCAAATGAGATGCCAGCATTGTCTGTGTCCATCTGTAATACAGGAACTGCTCAGATGCCATGGACACTACACAGAAACACAACCCCTTCCTCTGGTGGCTCAGAGTTTGTAGCTATGAGTTTTAAGAAAAAGTACTGAAAGTATTTGAACTTTTTAAGTTTTAGGTAATCCTCTAAAAGTACTTCTCAATATGTGCATGCATGTTTGCTTGATGACATCAATAGGATATAGTCAAAATCATGTCGATTACAAGACCTATAAAGGGCTTACTATAATAAAAAAGGGAGCTCTGGTAGCGTACTGGATATGAATTGCTGTGAACCTCACGGTCAGCAGTTGGAAACTACCAGCTGTTCCGCGGGAGAAAGATGAGGGTTTCTGCTCCCGTGAAGATTTACAGCCTTGGAAACCCTGTGCAGGGTCGTTATGAGTCAGAACCGACTCCACAGCACGTAACCAACCAAATAGTGAGAAAGTAAATGGACTTGAAGAATAATAAAGAAAAAGCTCTGGTACTATAGTGGGTTTCTCATTGGCGAGCAATTTCATCAGCCTCTCCGTGGGAGAAAGATGAGGCTTTCTGCTCCTGTAAAGATTTACAGCCTTGGAAACCCTATGTAGGGTTGTTGTGAGTCAGAACCGACTTAATAGCACATGAAGCAGCTGCAGTGAAAAAAACTTAACATGCTCTGGGGCAGTCAATGAGCAGCTATCAGCAGGATTCATTAGCACAGAAGCCAGTAACTCTGCAGCTAAGGAATAGCAAACCAGGCTGACTCAGAAGGTTGAGTTCCAAAGGGACCAGCTAAACCTGTCTCTGAACTTCAGCCACATCATCCCCTGATGGCCCCCCATTCAGGCAAAAGCACATGGAAGAGCTCCATATAGTGGGGACCTCTTTTTTTCAGCTAGAGAAAAGAAGTCTCCGGTAATGAAGGAGGCATTTAGATAACATTAAAATCCAAAATGTTAGCACAAAACAAGATGAAAAAAACTCTCTGCACCAAAAGAAAAAAAAAATTCTTAGACCCAAGAATGGAGTCCTGGTGTGGCACTGTAGGGTATGTACTTGACTACATGATCAGTTTCAAACACAGTGTCGGCGGTTCAAACTCACCAGCCGCTCCTCAGAAACCCCATACAGGGTCACTATGAGTCAGAACTGACTTGAAGGCACTTAACAACGACAACAATATCAATAACTAGATACCTGGGAACAGTTTCACTTTCTCCTTATTGAAAAGTACACTGAATACTGTTCTTTCAAAAAAATTCCGTACTGCCCACAAAGATATTGTGGAGTAAAATTCACTGTCTCTTCGTCGCTCATACTTTGGACATACTATCAGGAGGGACCAGTTGCTGGAGAAGGATATCATGTTTGGTAAGGTGGAGGGTCGGAGAACAAGAGGAAGACCTCCAACGAGATGGATTGGCAAAGTGGCAGCATCAATGGGCTCAAGCGTGGCAACAGTAGTGAGGCTGGCCCAGGATCGGGCAGTGTTTTGTTCTGTTGTACATAGGGTCATGAAGAGATAACCTGGTAACACCTAACAACAATTCACTGTTAAGTGGAATCTAGAAAATTCAGGAGGAAGTCCTGCCAAGGCTAGGTGAGAAAAGGAGTTCCACGGGGTGAGAGACACTGTAATGTTTAGCAACTTGCGGATCTGTGGTAACGCAGGCTGTAGAATGGTGTACCACAGCAGCCTGAAACAATGTGTTGTCTTCGTAGGCTAGCAAGCAGAGCAATACTTAATTCTGCAGCAAAAAAGTAAATTGGAAGTTCTATCTCAGGCAAACTAGAAAGAGCTTGTAATTCAAGTGAAACATATACTCAGAGCAGATAGGTTTTTCATTAGATTATAAGCAGATGTGTAAGAACAGTATTTCCTCAGCACACCATGCGTTGTTATTAGCCACTGTGGAGTCAGCCCTGGACTCGTGGTGACCTCACGCAGAATGCCACAAGACACTGCTGCTCCCGCACCATCCCCGTGATCCACTGAGGAGGATGGACTGCCGTGATCCAAAGGGTTTACATTGACTGATTTTCACAAGTAGATTGATTGCCAGACATTTTCTCCTCATCTGTCTTAATCTGAAAGTTACTGAATCTCGTTCAGCATCATAGCAGAATCTTCTTCTATTGACAGGGACGGGTTGACACTGGCAGGACACTAAGCCCAGGTCTCTCACATAGAAGGCCAGAGTGTCCTACCACTGAGCCATCAATATCCCCCATGCGCCCTATGTTGTTGTTCAGTGCCGTCAAATTGGTTCCGACTCATAGCAACGTTGTATAGGGCTTCTGAGGAGCAGCTGGTGGATTTGAACTGCCGACCTTGTGGTTAATAGTCCAGGGCCACACTAGGACATGCCATATGTTGTTGTTTTTGTTAAGTGCCGTCGAGTCAGTTCTGACTCCCAGTGACTCTCTATAGGGTTTCCAAAGAGTGGCTGGTGGGTTTGAAATGCCAAACTTGGGGTTAGCATTCCAGTGCTTATCACACACAGCACATCAGGTCTCCAGGTTACAACACATGGCACTTGTTAAATAAAGATCCTGATTCATTCGAGGAAAATGTGAAAGTAGACGTATTCTATAAGGAATGGTAATGACTCTCATCATGTTCTCCAAACTTCAGTAAGAATACATTATCCAGGTACCTTAGCACTGGCGAGACAACAGACTCCTCCAAGCTCTGGTTTTAGACAAGTTTAAGATGACATTCAACTGTGTGGATCACCATAAATGATGGACCACATTGCGAAGAACTAGCATTTAAAAACAGTTCAGTCCATTCATACAGAACCAGTACACAGACCCAGAGGACATCATTTGAACAGAAAAAGGGGATACTGCGTGGTTTAAGGTAAAATAGGGTGTGCATCAGGGGTATATCCTTTCACTACACTTATGCAGTCTGGACAATGAGCAAATAATTCCAGAAGCTGAACTGTATGAAGATGCACACAGCATCAGGATTGGAGGAAGACTCATTCACCACCAGCAATATGCAAATAACACAGTTTTGTTTGCTGAAAGTAATAAGGACTTGAAGCACTTACTGATGATCCAAAACTACAACCTTCAATATGAGTTATGCCTCAACATAAAGAAAGCAAAAATCCTCACCACTGGGTCAATAAAGCAACATCATGATAAACAGTGAAAATACTGAAGTTGTCAAAGATTTCATTTTACTTGGGTCCAGAATCCATGATGAGAGCAGCAGCAGTCAGGAAATCAAATGATACATTGCACTGGGAAAATCTGTTGCAAAACATCTCTTTAAAAAGGGAATAGGCAATGAGGTCACTTTGAACACTAAGGTGCACCTGACCCAAGCCATAGCATTTTCAATCACCTTGTATGTATGCGAAAGCTGGTCAATGAGTAAGAAAACCCAAAGACGAATTGAAGTCTTTCTATTATGGTATTAGCGGAGTATTGAATATATCATGGACTGCCAGAAGAACAAAGAAATATGGGATGGAAGAAGTACAGCCCAAGAAGCGAGCATGAAGAGGCTCTGTCTCACATTTGGACAGATGATCAAGATGGATCAGTCCCTGGAGACAGATCTTGCTTGGCAGAGGGTCAGCAGAAAAGAGGAAGACCCTCAGTGCAACAGAATGACACAGTGTATGCAATGTGGGCTCAGACACAGGAATGATTTGTTAAGAAGGCTTCTTCCACCAAGATTTCAATTAATTCAAGTTCCAGAGGTTTTCTCCCTTCCTCTCCTCCAAAACTCGTTTCTTACACATTTATAGTGAATTAGGCATCATTTTTAACAGCGAGGATCCTGTAAGGTTTTGAGAAAAACCGAAGGTAAACCTAGAAACGCTAGTGAAGATACAAGTCAACTGTAAGTGAATGGGAAAACTCATACTACTAATTTAGAAAATCTGCTTTAAAATAATAGCTTAGACAATGAACCTATGAGCATCTAGATAACAAAAAGAAAACCCAGTTGCCACCCAGTCAATTCTGACTTGTGGCAACCCCACAGCTGTTAGCATAAAACTAGACTCCACAGGATTTTCAATGGTTGATTTTTTGGGATTAGATTGCCAGGTATTTCTTCCAAGGTGCCTTGGGGCAAACTCAAACCTCCAAACTTCTAGTTAATAGTGGACTGTGCTAACCTTTCGCATCCCCCAGTGATGAAACCATACACACTTGTGGTGATTTTAAGTCATAGTGATTCTTTGTTGTTGTTATTGTTAACTTCTGTTGAGTTAGTTCTGACTCAAAATGACCTGGTATAGGGTTTCTAACAAGTGGCTGGTGGGTTTGAACTGCTGACCTTGTGGTTAGCAGAAGTCTAGTTTATCCTCTAGCACTACTTTAGGAACCCCAATTTTAATCATCTCCTTCAGAATAGAAAAGAAAATACCATATGTTCTCAATAAAGTCCCTGATAACTTACCAACCATGCAAAATGTCTCTTTTATAAATGTTTGGATATGGCTTCAAACCAGTTCCAAGAGCTCAGTGGCAGAGAACTAACATTCTGCAAAGAGCTTCCTCTCCCTTGAAACTGGATCCATCTTTTAGGCATCCATTAAAAAAAGCATCGGGAAACCAGGCTTTGTAAGCCACAGATACCTGATTTAATGCCAAAGAGAGGAGGCATGAACCTAAAGGGGAGAGGAGAAAAATGCTGGAGCTGAACTGCAAGGTCTGTTAGAACCGCAAGGTCGGTGGCTCATGCTTACCAGTGGCTCCGTGGAAACCCTATACAGGGTCACTATGAGTCGGAACCGACTTGACAGGATTTAACAACAACTGAGAAAGGCTTACTTGAGTGAACTAGTTGCCAGGTCACAAGAAAATGGAAACCATTTCAAAGTCACTAAGGTTTGTTGATAGTGCTACAAATGCTTTTGAAACCTGTGTTCTGTTTTCAAAGGGTAAAATTTGAAGCAGTGATGAATTATTATTTCTCGGATTGAAAATAACACTATAAAGAAAAGACAGGGTTCTCATAAGACTTTAGTAAAATTAAAAACTAAAAAAGATCCTATCTGTTTACTTTTTCAAAAAATTGACCTACCACACACACACCACCATCAGTCCCATGAATGGGCAACAACACACACCCATTACCACACATAAACACATTCACATCTTCTCACACAAACACACACACACACATACATACGAGGAGGCTTCAAAAAGTGAGTGGAGATATAGAAGTGAAACATAATGGTACTTCCCCACCCCACCGCCCCGCCACTACCCCCACACTTTTGAAGCCCCTGATGTACACACTGGCTCACTTAGCCATGCCCACTGACCTTTCTTCACCATCCTTCCGGCCACGGTGAATTGGCTGGAGTCGTTGGCTGCACCCTTGCCCTTTACCTTCCAGGCTTCTTCTCTCACAGTGATGAGCTGCTTCCTCTCCTCGATGGTCATTTGGTTCTCTCGACTCTCCGTAACCCTCTGCTCATCAAATGGAGGAAGGAGGAAATGGGAGAGAAATGGTGCAGAGGTGAATTTTAGCCTGTAGCATCACCATGATCTAAAAACACAGGCAAACACAGGAATGATGCATTTCCTAAAAAATATCATATCAAAGACAGTCTCTGAGGTGGGGTTAGAAATCTCTATTAACAGTACTTGAAAATGTAGGCTGTAACTTTGATTTTCTTAACTTCATGTCCACTCACAAATAACATGGTTAATTTAGAGGATTTCTACCTCCCACCATGGGAGCTCATTAGGAACATGGTCAATTGTTCTGTAGGGAAAGTTGGTTAGGAACCCACTAAGTTATAAGAAGCTTTTCTAGAACTTGGCAAGCTTTTTCCTGGAGCAGCTATGTTATACGGCAGTCAGACAGCCCTGTCAGCCCATGGAAGAAAATTTAAAACATAACCTAGCTGATGTCGATAACAAATTGTGTCATAGACTGAATCTATACCTATGTACTTATAAATTGTCTATTTTCATGAACATTTCAAAGTCTATATATATATATAAATACATACAACACACACACACACACACATATATATATACACACACACACATATAAGGGGGCTTCAAAAAGCTCATGGAAAAATTCCGTTATTTTTCAATTCCATTTTTCTATGAACTTTTTGAAACCCACTTCAATGCTTTATATATGTTTGTATGTATGTATGTTAAGTGCCGTCGAGTCGGTTCCGACCCATAG